TTTATAGCTTTAAAAATACTTTTATTGTTGAAATGCCTGTAGGAAAAACGACTATCAGTCTAAAACCATCCAACTCCTATACCTTCTATTTTATTAACACAATATAAGTTATATTTACTACTTGATATTTTAGTAAAAGTGGTTTTCTTAGGGATGCATCTTTTTAATATGAATAGACTTGTAACGTAATTTGTAATTTGTAAAAGTGTAATTTGTAACAGTGAACATGAATTATCAATTTATTAGAAAGTTAAATTACTTAGAAAGGAAAATTAGTGACAACAGTGTTTTAAATCTAGGAACTTAATATAAGATAAGCATTTGCTTATTAAAATAAAGGGAATGAATCTTTAGTTATCTAAAAAAACTTCCAAGTCTGGATGTACTGTGTATTTTGCCACTCACATATTTTTTGGTCTTTTAAAAAAACACTTGTTTTTAAAAAATCATTGTTCAATACATAATCCCTCTGCATCCATGAGCATCTTATCAAAACAATTCAAAATCAAGATCTAAAACACATGAGTCAAAATGACCTCTTTAAGTGGCTGCATGAAAATGCCATGCTTTTTCCAAAAATAGTATTTTTTAAAATTTTTTATCCTCACCCAAGGACATTTTTGCATTTATCTTCAGATAGAGCAGGAGGGAGAAAGGGAGGAAGAGAGAGAAAGAAACATCAACGTGAGAGAGACACGTCGAGTGGCTGCCACCCACACGACCCCAACTGGGGCCGGGGACAAACTGCAACCAAGGTATGTGCCCTTAGTAGGAATCAAACCCGGGACTCTCTGGTTCGCGGGCCGACACTCTAACCGCTGAGCCAAACTGGCTAGGGCCAAAAATAGTATTTCTGTGTGATATTTCTTTCTGGCATTTCTCAGGAAATTTACCAAGTCCTGAGAAAAATTAGTTAAGAAATTGGGAACATGGGAAGAAGTGTTATAGTTCTCTGAGAATTTAAGCTTAACAGTCAACTACAAATATCACTGGTTCAAAGGAACCCACTAATGTCACTTGAAAGCAAAAGCAAGAAATGTTGACATGCTGAGCTGTATGTTAATGTGGACATTTCTAGGAACAGTACAGGACCATGCACAGGAGAAGTGGAACAATCTAGTTAATCAGTCAGTCTTGTTTTTGTGACCATGTTATAAGTATGTTTTATGGGTCTGTCTGTTATTAATGGAGAGTTGTTCTCACAAATAAATAATAAGTTAATACATATAGTATACTTTATACAAAATCCTGCAAATGATATTCCATGAAATAAATTTGGAAGCAAAGGATGTCCTTAAATTGGCAGTTTCACAATTTGATTCTCTGTAGAGCTGTTAAGTTTCAAATGTTACATTTTTATATTATCCATTAATGTTTGCTGGCATTTTCCAGTGTTTTGAATATTTACCATAGGCTACAGATCTTTGTAAATACTTTAGCAGAGAAAGGCAGAGAGAGAAAAGATGTAAATATTATTGTGAAATACTCCTATATGAAATCATAAAATGATATAATATCTGAATTAGTAAAAACAATATTGATTTCAACAGCAAATCCCAAATCAAAGTAAACAGGCAATATTTTCATTGTTGTAAAAAGATGAGTTTCAGTGCTGCAACATATAGCTTAATGCTCTGAATTGAAGATGCCTTTGAGTACACTCAGTAATTTGACCAAAGTCAATGCAGAATGAAAGAAATATTTCTACATTTAGAATATCTGTCATGAAATAAAAATCAAGAATATTGGATAGGGCAATTAATAATTTAAGTATTTTAAAATTTTATTTCAAGAATAATAATTTAAATATTAAATGTGTATAGAATTATCTTTCAAAATCAAAGTTTTTGACACTTATTTTGTGGTAGTATTCCTTAAGTGTTTTTTATGATGAAATGTCTATACCAGGTAGAAATAATTGTTACATGCTATTAAAATATATAATCTTGTCAAAATAATGTTGATTTATAATAAATAACCATGCATTCATTATTTTCTTAAATATAAAACTCTGTAACTTTCAATATAATCATATCATAGAAAAACAATTCTCTGCTTGTTATGTCATTCATTATTACTTAAAATATATTAAATATTGTGAAAAATACAGAGTAACTTATAATCTAGGGAATTCTGAGATTCCAGTTTCTTACTCTTCAATCCTGGGATTAATATGTTGGGTTTTTTTGGAAGCACTGCTTGTTTCAGACCCATTCTGAATAATTGAGGTATCATTGAAGATTATTATGTATTGTTGTATTAGGGACTATTGTAGACTTTTTCTCCTACATTATTATATTTAAGTTGCACAATAGTGCTATGAAGAAAATCTTTATCTGTTTTAGAAAAGGAGAAACTGAGGCTAATAGACTTGCTTAAAGTCTTTCTAGTTGATTAAGAATAGAGATATGCTTTGAACCCAGATCTTTTCTGACTTCAAAATTTCAAGTTATGTTGTTTCCACTGATCAGAATGTCTATTTAAAATAAGTTAATTCACTTACAATGTTGTATAGATAAATGTGTTAATTAAGCTATATGTTAAAATTTTTGGCTAGAAAAGTAGAATGGATTTATATATTTTAGTTCCTTTTAAAAATTATTTAAGATACTTTACATGTACATGGACTTAACACAAATATTTGTTGAATGATGTACCAGGAATTAAAATCATTTGGTGAATTGACATTTTGGTTTTGAGTTTTGTGTGTTGTTTTAAAGATCACAGTAGTATCTCATCTTTTTAAACCTAGCAGTAATCTTAGCTTAGAACTGTGCTGTCCAAATCAATAGCCACTAGCTCCATGTAACTTTATAAAAAATATTTTTAAAATTGATTTTTAGAGAGAGAGGAAGGGAGGGGGGAGACAGAGAGAAACACTGATGTGAGAACATAACATTGATCTGCTGCCTCCTCCCCACCCCATCCCGGGAAATTGAGTCTGAAACCCTGGCTTGTGCCCTGACTGGGAATCAAACCAGGAACCCTTTGGTGCATGGGAGGACTCCCAGCCAACTGAACCACACAGGCCAGGGCTCCAAGTAGCTTTTTATTGACTGACTGATTGATTTTTTTAGATTGAGAGGAAGGGAGAATGGGAGAGAGATAGAAACATTAATGAGAGAAACATCAATTGGCTGCCTCCTGCACGCTCCATACTGGGGATCAAACTGGTGACCTCTTGGTGCATGGGATGATAACTCATTCCACTGAGCCACACCAGCCGGCTTCAAGTAGCTTTTAAAATTTACGTTATTTAAAATGGAATAATATTACAGTTCAGTTTTTTAGTTGCACAGACATTTAAAAAAATTTTTTTTCCTTTATTGATTTTAGAGAGAGAGGAAGTGAGAGGAAGAGAGAAAAACATTGATGAGAATATCGATTGGCTGCCTCCTGCGTACCCCCTACTGGGGATCCGGCCCACAACCTGGAAAGTGTGCTGACTGGGAATTGACCCACCGGTCAATAAGTGACCTCTTGGTTCATGAGTTGACGCTCAACCACTGAGCCACACCGGCTGGACTGCACAAACATTTTAAATGCCCATTTATCACATATGGCTTAGTAGCTACTGTATCATGCAGATATAAAACATTTATATCACTACATAAAGTTCTATTACTGTAACACTGGTCTAAAACATCAAAATTAATTTGTAGAAATCAGGGATTCAGTTCTTTGATATTCCATATAGATTATGTTGATTTGGGGATATATTCTACCGTATACCCTTTCTCTAACCTCATTTCCAGTTTTTCCTCAACTCTAAAGTGATATTACAAACATTTCCTTTACATCAGAAAATGAAATATCTTTGCTTTGAGAATTTATTATAATTTTGAAATAATTAAGAAAATGTTTTAGTTTTGCCAAACCAAGGTTAATTAATCATTTTCTAAGTACTTAGCTTCTTAAATGTTAGATTGAGTTTTTAATGAGGAATCTATTAATTACTATTGTGGCAACATATTTTTAACTTGGTACATGTGTTCTGTGTTGCATTTTAAAGTAAATGTCCTTTGGAATATGACATTTAGTGAATCCAAGTGGCTATCAGTGGTCACTGAGAAGGAAAATGTACCATTCCAATTTTTGCAAAAGCATTTTATTCCACACATTAGCTATTTGTCATAACTATGAATGTCTTGTACTAAAGTTATAAACTTTTTCTGATATTGGGCCATAACTGCTAAAATGATGCTTTAGTAGTGATTACTTTTAAAATTAAACCCATGTATTAAGCCATAAAGTGACTTGAGTGCATTGTAAATAAAATGCTATAATAATGAAGTATTTTAATTACAGTCCCTAGTGTGAGCATAGAACTCAGTAAAAATTTTACTTTAATTCTTACTATGTTCATGTTTTTTTCCCTTTAAAGTTGTTTGAATCTAAGTTAAAAAAGGGGGGGGGGGGGCTTTAGGTTTTAAAATCATTTGAGCAAATGCCATGGCTGTTCTCCCAGTTACTGAGTGTTTGCTGCATTTGCAGCAAGCTAATTGCTTCTGCTAATAAATAATCTAAAATCGATGCTGACAGCAGTTAATTGGCACAGAGATTTTATTTTGAAAAGCTCTTGGCTAACGACCTTCTTTAAATTAATAGCATTAAGTGCTATGAGGAAATAAATCTGAGGAATTGCCTGTCATTTGCTTGTCATGTCTAATAACTTCCAATAATGATGGCTGATAGATTTTTGCACATTCCATTATTGAAGTTGGTGCATGTAATTATTCTCCTCATTATATGTAAACAATTAGCAATATTTGGTATTTCCTTGCAGTAAAGCTGTTAAATACAACTAACATTGTAGAGGTTAAAAGTCATTTTAAAATCTAGATTTTAATTATTTGACTGTAGGAAGTCTTTCATGCTATCTGGATATATTATGTGCTGTTTATTTTAAGCCTTATACTTGAACACTTTTTGAATAGGACTTATAAAATAAGTAGTGTGTGTTCTAAAATGTGGCAATTTATGGAAATTTTTGTTCGCAGCTTGAAGAAGTCATGGAAAAAGAAACTTATAAAACGGCTAAATTAATTCTTGAAAGGTTTGATCCAGACTCAAAGAAAGCAAAGGTAAGGCTCTGATATCACTACTATTTTATTATAAATTGCACATTGTAATAGGTCACTGTAATAACATTATTGTAATTGACAGGAGTTTGAGCCGCCATCTGCTGGAGCAGCTGTAACTGCAAGGCCTGGACAAGGTAAATAACTTTGTAGAAACTGCTGCTGCTGTTGGAAAGATCCATATTTACCCAAGTGAGTTCAAAAGTGTGACAGAGGTGTGTAAAAACTTACATTTAATGAATTTATATTAATTTTTATTTGGTAATTTGGGATATGACTTGGAGTGATAAGGCAATAAGTTTATCTCATTTTGATTTTATAGGATTATGTTGATAAATAAAGATGGTATCTATTGAGACTAAATATATAATTGGTTTAATCTTTTGAAATCTAATTTCACCAGTATTTTGTAAGGTTTTGTCTCTTCCTTTAAGTAAGGATTTCTTAGAATATCTGTTTTTAAGAAAATTTTTACATTTTTATTATTTATTTTTGAGGTACATTTAATGAAGATTTTTGTTAAATTTGAAGTTTCTTCTAAAATGACACTCTTATTTAGGAAGAGAATAAAATAATTTAAAAATTAGAAAAAAATTGAATTACTGCTATATAATAACATTAACTCTTTCTTTTGGAGGGTATAGTACCAGATTACTAATGAAATCATCACTATTATATCATTAATTACTATGTAAAATTTAAAAGGTCATTATTTTAAGTGGTTACATAAAGTTTTCCCAAGACTGGGATATTTTTGGGCTTGCATTGGCTTCACTCTGTTCTCTTGTCTAGAATATAGTAATATAGTTTGCAAGGCTTTTGTTGCAATATAGAATATACTATTTTAACAAATTCAACATTTATTCTTATAAATTATCAGAATTGTAGCTGGTTCATAAAGTTAGGATGACTTTTAGAACTTTGAGAAGTCAATTATTTTATAAATGTCCACAAAGGCTATGGATACTAAATAAGCCATAATAGTTTTAGGTTTTCTAATGGGCAAAGCTATGTGGGAAGGATCCCACTCTCTCCCATAATTCCATAAGTAGGATTTTGGTTTTTAAAAACATTAGCCTGCTCTTTTGATACATGTAAAAGTTTATATATGATTTAAAAATATTGGGCATAGGTACTTGCAATGAAACTCCTACTTTCATAATCAGTTTAAATTTTCTACAATTTACACTTCTTTCTAGCAATTATAAAAACATTTTTGGCCTATGGGCTAGGTTTCTATAATTTTTACAGTATTTTTTATAACTGGGAATAACTTTTCAAAAGCCCTTTTAAAATAATCTTAGTTAATATATTTTTAAAATGCAGAAAGCTGTTGCTAGCAGTTACTTTTTAAAAAAAGTCTGTCCTTTTCACTCTTATTAATAAAGTTTAGATGCCATTTACTGACATTCTTAAATGTTTATTAATATTTAGGCAACATAAGTTTCATTTTTTTTTTTACCTGGTAGATATTTTTTATTTTATTTTATTTATTTATTTTTAAATTTTTTATTAATTTGTTTTTGTTACAGATGTTTCTCATTTTTCCCCCATTGACACCCACCTCCCCTTCCCTCCCACCTTGTCCCCATCTTTGTTGTCTATGTTCATTGGTCATGCATATATGCATATAAGTTCTATTGTTTATCTCTTCCCCCACAAACCTCCCCCCCCTCCTCTGAGGCTTGTCAGTCTGTACCCCATCTTCATAACTCTGGGTTAATTTTGTTCAGCAGTTTGCTTAGTTCATTATATTCCACATATAAGTGAGATCATGTGATATTTGTCTTTCTCTCTTGGCTTGTTTCGCTTAGCATAATACTCTCCAGGTCCTTCTATGACATCTCAAAGGATAAGAGTTCTTTCTTTCTTTCTTTTTTTTTTTCCTTCAAATCTTTATTTTTGGATGTAAAATGTATTACAGATGTTCCACATTTTTCCCCCATTGACCCCCTCCTCCCCACTCCCGCCCCCCTCCCACCTTTTCCCACACTATTGTCTGTGTCCATTGGTTATGCATATAAGTTCTTTGGTTTATTTCTTCCCACCCCCCAACCCCTTTCCCTTTGAGGTTTGTCAGTCTAGCAATGAATTTGTGCTTCTTAATCCCTTCACCCTTTTCACCCATTCCCCCAACCCCCTTCCCAACTGGCAACCAACAAAATGTTCTCTGTATCTATGAGAATGTTTCTGTTCTTCCTGTTCATTTTGTTTGTAGATTCCATTGTTGATAGATATGTATTCATTGCCATTTTGTTTGTTCATACATTTTATCTTTTTCTTCAAAAAGACCCTTCATCATTTCATATAATAACGGTTTGGTAGTGATGAACTCCTTTAACTTTTTCTTGTCTGGGAAAGTTTTTATATGTCCATCGATTCTAAATGACAGCTTTGCAGGATAGAGTAATTTTGGTTGTAGGTTCTTGCTTTTCATCACTCTGAATATTTCTTGCCACTCCCTTCTGGCCTGCAAAGTTTCTTTTGAGAAATCAGCTGACAGCCTAATGGGTACTCCCTTGTAGGTAACTAGCTGCCTTTCTCTTGCTGCTTTTAATATTCTCTCTTTGTCTTGAACCTTTTGCATTTTGATGATGATGTGTGTTGGTGTGGGCCTCTTGGGGTTCATCTTATTTGGGACTCTCTGTGCTTCCTGGACTTGTAAGTCTGTTTCCTTCACCAAGTTAGGAAAGTTTTCTGCCATTATTGTTTCCAACAGGTTTTCGATTTCTTGTTCTCGCTCTTCTCCTTCGGGCACCCCCAAGATGCGAATGTTGGCATGCTTGAAGTTGTCCCAGAGGCTCCTTACACTATCCTCATTTTTTTGGATTCTTTTTGCTGTTCTGATTGGGGATTTTTTGCTTCCTTATATTCCAAGTCGATGGTTTGCTCCTTGGATTTACCTACTCTGTTATTGAAGCTGTGTAAATTATTCTTTATTTCAGTTAATGCCTCCTTTAATTCTAACTGTGTATCCATGATTTCTAACTGGTCCTTTTTTATGCTCTTGAGGCCCTCCCTAAGTTCACTGAGGTTCTCACTAAGTTCATTGAGCATCCTTATAAGCAGTATTTTGAACTCAGTATCTGTTAGGTTGCTTATCTCCATTTCGCTTAGTTCTTTTCTTGGGGTTTTGTTCTGTTCTTTCATTTGGGACCTGTTTCTTTGTCTCCTCATTTTGGCTGCCTCCCTGTGTTTGTTTCTGTGTATTACTTAATGAGAGGTATGGGGCTCGCTGAGACCCGGTGCTGCTCGTTTGAAAGAATTTAGGAAAAACCTGAAGCAGGATCCAAGACAGGCCAATCCTATGGTTAAGCAAGTGGCAACAGCTTGGGTGTGCTTGAAAGTTGTGTGGAGTGGGGCGGGGCCTTAGGGAGTCAGCAGGGCGGGGCTACCAGTGTGAGCCAGGTTGCTGGAGTCCCAGATATGGCTTCTGTCTGCCGCCCACGGGAAGGGCTCACCAAAGGAACAAAGGCCTCTGACAGCACGTTTGTCCCCGAGGAAGCCCCCTCTCCAGCGCTCGCTCCAGTGCCAAACAGCTCAGATCTTCCCTGTGTGTCTCTGGCACCCCTCGAGCTGCCTCCCCTCCGAGCTTAGAGGGAGAGAGTCCGATAAGTCCGTGCGCCGGCCCTTTAGGGAGCTGCCTGGGGCTCCAGCCAGGTCAGCTTCCCGGAGCCTCAGTTTCCGCTGGTTTTTCCAGCCAGAAGTTATGGGGACTTCTCTTCCTGGCACTGGAACCCTGAACGGGGCACCTGGTGTGGGACGGGGACCCCTCAGTCCTCAGGAAGGACCTTCCCAGCCGTGGGAGCCTCCTGATTTTTATCCACCACGCTTGGGTGTGGGACCAGCCCATCTCGCCGCAGCGCGCCGCCTGTCCTACCGGTCTGGATGTAGCTGCTTTTTTTTTTTTCTTAGTTCCATAGTTGTACGACTTCCATTCAGCTTGATTTCAGGCGGTTTTGAATGATGGTTGTTCTGTAGTTTAGTTGTAACTTTGATGTGGTTGTGGGAGGATGCGATACCGTGTTTACCTGCGCCGCCATCTTGACCGGAAGTCCAGAGTTCTTTCTTTCTTATCCTTCTATAACATCTCATAGGATAAGAGATCTTTCTTTCTTAGAGCTGCATAGTATTCCATTGTGTACATGTACCACAGCTTTTTATCCACTCATCTACTGATGGGCACTTGGGTTGTGTCCAGATCTTAGCTATTGTAAATAGTGCTGCTATGAACACAGGGGTACATATATTCTCTTTGAATGGTGTTTTCAGGCTTCTTAGGGTATATTCCTAGTAGTGGGATCACTTGGTCAAATGGAAGTTCAATTTTTAACTTTTTGAGGTAACACCATATTGTTTTCCACAGTGGCTGCACCAGTCTGCATTCCCACCAGCAGTGTACTAGAGTCCCCTTTTCTCCACACCCTCATCAACATTTGTTGTTTGATGATTTGTTGATGGCGGCCATTCTGACAGGTGTGAGGTGATAGCTCATTGTTGTTTTAATTTGCATCTCTGATGATTAGTGATGTTGAGCATTTCTTCATATGTCTCTTGGCCATTTGTATGTCCTTTTTGGAGAGGTGTCTATTTAGGTCCTCTGCCCATTTTTTAATTGGGTTCTTTGTCTTCCTTTTGTTGAGTTGTATGAATACTCTATATATTTTGGAAATTAACCCCTTATCTGATGCATCATTGGCGATTATGGTCTCCCATATAGTGGGACCCTTTTCCATTTTGATAGTTGTTTCTTTTGCTGTGCAGAAGCTTTTGAGTTTGATGTAGTCCCATGTGTTCATTTTTTCCTTTGTTTCTGTTGTCTTAGGTGTTGTATCAGTGAAAATTCTGCTGCGTATAATGTCTGACATTTTTTTATCCTCACCTTAGGACATTTTTCCATATTTTGTTCAGATAGAGTGGGAGGGAGGGAGAGAGAGAGAGAAAGAAACATTGACGTGAAAGGGACACATTGAGTGGTTGCCATCCACATGACCGAACCAGGGCTGGGGACAAGCTGCAACCGAGGTACGTGCCCTTAGCGGGAACTGAACCCGGGTCTCTCCAGACCACAGGCCAACGCTCTAACTGCTGAGCCAAACAGGCTAGGGCTGATGTCTGAGATTTAGTTGCCTACATT